TATATATATATATATATATAAATGATTTACAATCGTAACATTTATATACATATCAACAACTTTATTGTGGATTTTAGATGTAAATTGCAGACTCGATTACAAGAGCAAGAATGGCATAACGTATGCGAAAAAGATCGCGATCAAAAGAAATGTAATGGATTGATATTATTTTTGGCAGAATTAGTTGCCCAAATGGATGAATCTTATGCTTTCACTCTAGGAGAATTATTAGTATGGTTTATTACAAAAGTACTTCAAAGACCAGCGTCGAATACAGTGAAATATATATGCCAAGCACTCAAAGTAAGTAGAAAATAGTAATGACAATCCTATCCATTCTTATTTATGTCACTGCTAACGCTGTACTTGATGTAATGTACAGTTGGCGGGTCATGTATTGGAAAAGGATAAAAGCAAGAGCGGAGATATGGAAAATATGATGCGAGCGTTAACGGAACTGGTAAATAACGGACAGGTTGACACGCATGTCGGAAATATGGTAAACAACGTTCACGAAATGCGAAAAAATTGGGAAAAAAGCGCGTCTAATTGTGATTCGCCTAGCACAAACAATGCAGTGTTAAATCAAGTACAACAGCCAGACCAACCAGGCGCGTCTAATTACAATTCATCTGAACTGAATACTGCACCGTTGGTTGAAGTACAGCAACCGTTGGACCTGCCAGTAATGTATGGCCCCGATGGTGAAGTTCTCTCTGCGGAGGAAAGTAAATTTCTCCAAGATCACATGATGTTGGATTTGGATGATATTGAGTATGTTAAATTTTGTATCTGTATTTTAAATATGACATTAAGACACATTTTCGCTGGAAATGTTTATTTAGGAAACTAATATATATTAATACATTATTTGATATAGGACTTCTGATGAAGGATCAATTGATGATAATTTCGATGATGAAATTGCGACCGCTTACGAGGAGTTTTTGAAGGAGGAACCCAAATAAAGTGTACATAATCTCATATCAACTTATGCTACAGGATTATGCTGTGGCTCAAACATCTTGCTATATGCACCATTTCTTAAAATCTTAATGATTTCAAAGGGAAGATATTAAAAGAGAGACAGAGATTAAACTCAATCAAGAAGAGAGAATATTAAAAATCAGATGTAGCATTTGCATTGCAAAAAAATAGCACAGTATCATTGCATATATATAACGCACTGATTTATAAAGCAATGCATCAAATATAAGTAATTCTCAATAAACTCCCGTCATGTACAGAAATAATAACAATACCTGCATAACAACATAAATATTTACTTATATAGCATGCAGGTAATCCACTAGAAACAGAATATCTAAGTATGTTTCCTAAATTTGAAAATTAAAAACGTAAATGTATAATTAAAGATGTAATCTACATAGTTAAATGCTTCTCTATCTCAACTCATGAACAAGAGAATGAAAATGCGTGCATTTATTATGCGTACTGCTATCTTCTGCTTTTTACTTACTTTCTCATTCTAATGTAGTCACGCGACATGAACCAAATATAAACATTAACGCTCCTGATCCCTTGCTGAAATGACATTGAATTATAGCTTCAGAAGTGAAAAACCATGCTAATTTTCTTGCGTTATACAAAACAATAAATTGCGTAAGACAGTTTTGAAATAAAATCACGATTTGATAGACATGTCGGAACCTCCTGCTTCAGTTCATAGATATGTGGTTTATAAATAAGTAAATCTTTCTCTTAATCAATTGTTATAATATTGCAATTTCTCCATTAGATTACACAATATACAGGGTAGTCCACGGAACTGGGCCGAGCTCTAGCACTTATCCCATTAAAGATAAAAAAATGGTAGAAGAAAAAGTTAAATAGCATAACATGAACAATTTTTTAATGGTTTTATTTTTTTTGCAAGTGCGACAATGCACCAGAAAAATGCAATTGCACTTTTTTAAAATGAAAATTGTATTTTTTGTTGCATAAATAGATTCCTCTGAATAATCTCTCTATAAAAGCATTAGAGTAATATGTCCGAAAAATTATATTTTAAGATTTGACATTTTTGAGTGAGGTATATGCTTTATTCAAGATGATATTTGAGCGTTTCACTGTGTTTACGGTTGCAGATTTGAATATACACACTTGACGCGTGAGGTAGTATCAATTGACCACAGTTTATAGTAATTAGAACATATAGCTTTAAAGTAAATCTATAGACGTGAATATACTTAATAATTATAGAAAAATTTGTTATGTAATTTAACTTTATCCTCTACCATTTTTTCTATCTTCAACAGAACAAGTGCTAGAGCTCGGTCCAGTTCCGTGGTTCCAGCTCCGTCCAGTTCCACCCTGTATATGCATTAATTAACACAATATAATAAAAAATAGAGTTTTTAATGTATTCCATCACTTTATACTTTCAAATGCAAGTGAAATAACTAATTTTTGTCGATATAAACTAAAAAAATTACATAATTCTGACACATTTAATATTGTCTTACTTAATATTCAATATTATATGATTCCAATAAAAAGAAAACAGGAGCCATAAATTTAAAGCATGACTTATTAAAAAGGATGAAATAATTAAATTTAAAAACAAACAAATTTAATTTTAATTTGTTTTTTTTGTAAATGACATCTGATACAAAAAGTATCTTTTTAACAAAATTATAATTTTAAGAACTTGTAAGGATATGTTTTGTGTCTTTTAATTTGGATTTTTAAAACTATTTTATTGAAATTGTATTAAACGCTAGCAGAACGTTAGGAATATTAAAAACCATTTAAAGCTGTATTCCAAAATTTATTGGCAGTACTGAAAGTCTATAGTGTACATAACGTGAACCGTAGATTTTCAGTATTGGCAGTGAATATTAAAACAGTTTAAATTTTACATTTTTTTTCTGTCTTTAGTAATGCGTAAACATTGCATGCATTTTTGAGATCTCTAAATTCGGATTAGCCAACTCGGTAGTCAGCCATTATATGTTTCTGTCCCTAATGGATTACTCTGTATATAAATATGTGTCCTATGTGCTAGAAATGTATTTTGCATTTATTTAAAATTACATATATGTATTTGTACGAAGTTTCCTAAATATATAATATGAGTTTTATAACGATTGTTCATGTATTTGACTCGATGTTAAACGCTAATTTCACGTCCATATTAAGAATATTAAGATTATGATCTTAGAATGTTTCTGATTCTGTTATTATATAAGGTAGCATTCGACTTGTGCGTGATTCGTTAAATTACAAGTTAATTCCTAGAATAAATTTGCATGCATCTCAAATTGATACATTGATACGTAACAATAACTTCTTGATTTTTTAGAAAAATCTACAAATGTGCGAATAATTATGTGTTTCGATTATCGGAATTCATAAAAATGAAATTATCACGAGACAATGATAATGATATCGATTCATTATTACACACCATATTATTTATCCTTTTTTTCTCACCATATTTGCATATGTGATTGTGTACATATTCTATTTTGTTTGCTTATTTTTTTATTTTGGATTAACAAATTTGAGAAATTGCGACAAAAAGAAGTTAAGCAATATCGAATGATATATGATGAATCTGTAATTGAATGATAGGTCCATAATGGATTTACGACAACTGCAGCTACGCTGCAATCGGAACGTGCACACTTATCGTCCGTAGGCATCCATGTTTGGCGCGAAATGGTTCTCTCATCACGGAACTCCGCGAAGTTGCAACGTGATTACTCATACCTGTTTTGACCAACGCATTGCACTGCACGCGTATATGGTATATCATTGTAACGCGCCAATTAATTGTTAATTAAAGACGATGGTTTCCCGATTCGCGATCGCGCTAATGTGATGAAAATTCTTCATTTACTACACATGCGATATTTATTAATAACGAGTAAAAAGTAAAGTGTAAAGTCGAAATTAAATACGTTTTAAATATGTAGGCGAAATTTATCGAATACCTTGAAAATTGATCAGGGTCTTGGCGTGGGCGAATTCGAAGTGGGGCTGTGAAGGTTGCGAAAGGTGGGGCCAGATCGTCCTTGCGCCTTCATCATCTCCGCGATCGCGGGTAATACGTTAGTTCTCTTCGCGCCATTGTCGAACACGAGGTCGCACACAGAGGTGGGTATTATTCAAAATATATAAACTTTTAGA